GAATCAGACTGATATAATTGCGGAATGTCGGTAAGTGTTACTTTAATACATTCACTAACAATTTAAAAATGTATTAATATTAACAATAGTAGTAAGTAGCATCACAGCATTAATTATTTCCACATAAGCCTTTATTTCAATCGTAACGTTTGTAGTGTAACTTAAATTAATATTGTATTGTTATTTCAGGACTCGGAGGATCTCTTCAATTTTGTACCCATGAATCAACCAGTCCAACAAACCACTGGACAGAAGACGCTGGGTCTCGCTCGCAAGAGATCAAAAACAGATCAGACATTCTATCAATTTATAAAGAAGCCTGTTTCTCGTGGAACGAAAATAATAAAAATAGAAATCTATGATACAGACAGTTTTCAAAAATCCGAACAGCCGATGTGTAATTGTGAGGCTGATGTGTGTGTTCAACATGTTGTGAAAACTATATTATACGATGATATATATACCAGTACGAGAGAATTAATTGCCAAAATTCAGGATGACATCGAACCAAGAGTATAGATTTAATAATTTAAAATGTATAGACGTTACCGTTTACCACTTATGTATGTTTAATTTTCTAAAAAAGTTTATGTAAATAATTATAAGTGTACCTATGTAGTAATGAATAGATATCAACTATAAAAATATCAAAAATTGTATATTTAAAATAAAATAATTCAAAATATCATTTTTTTATTGCTAACTCATTCTTATACATGTAATAAATAGCCACTGCACTACGTACCTAGGTATATAAGGCAGCGCAATGGACAATAGCGAGAGCATTCCATATTATCATATTCAATAAGTATGATCTTTTTTATGAATATTACTGCCATGCCTGCTATCTTAAAATAATATGTGAATAGAAGATTAAAATGTGGAAAATAGGGTATCCAGATCTCTGATCTGGATGCCCTATTTTCCAACTACTACCGTTTACGTAGGTACTTTATTTAAGTATGCGCTTGAGACTTGAGATATAATCTAATTATATTTAAGACAAATAAAATTCATACAGCTAATTTCTATTGAAGATTTCTTCACGGATCAGGATTCTAACTATAGACCCCTTAGGGAAATTAAGTATTTAATTAAGAATTTTATTTGTCTTAAATATAATTAGATTATATCTCAAGTCTCTATGTAAGCGCTTTATGTGAAAACTAGCTAATGGCCAAACGTTCGCGTAGCGGAAACTTGAATTTCTCCGAAGTTTATGCATGCACTAGTTTTATTTATACATACACAATTACACACAAATACACACTAATTTTTGGATACATCTCTTTTCTTCTAAAGTCTGTGGATTAAAAAAAGTTCCGCCAGGACAACGTTCGCCCAGCGGAATCAGTTTTTGGTGAATTTCTCCACAATGGTTGCGTGCACAAATTTTTTTTTACCATACACAATTATACGACGTCATACACTAAATATCTGCATAATTAAAATCTTTAAATTCAACAACATTCCGCTGCACGAGTGTCCGTTACCCAGGCCAGATGTTGTCGACAATGGTCATTTGAATCTTATAGATAATTAGTTGTGCGGCTTCTGTAATTGTTGCGCACATTTTTAAATTTGTTGCGCTTATAGTTTTTTAATTATTTCACAAAAACATTTCCTGCTGGCGTAACGTTACCACAGCCAGACCTTTTTATTTCTAATGGGAATATTTAAATAAATATTAGCTATAAAATTAGTTGTCTAGATAAAGTAAATGTTGTGCCTTATTTTGTATTTGTTCTTTCTTCGGTTGCGAAGTTATTCGAGATTTTGCTGCGGTAACGTTTTTGGTTTTGCTAGATCTTTGAAATGGTTAAGCGGATTCTTATCATATTTTGTACACGACTTCCGAGGACTTAGTTTAAATTTGTTGTGCAATAACAAAACCAAAATAATGCATATTTTAAAGGTTTTTTCATTAAATAGAAAAACACTTCAATTGGCCCCAGCACTCTCAATAAGAAGTCTAAAGACTTACTTTAAACGTAATTTTAAAGCTTGTAACTGCCTTCAAATGTATGTGAAGTTTCATTAGTATCCCGTAAGTATTTAACAAGTTATGATGATATTCAGTTCTTCACGAGCACGGTCTTAATGCACGCGGTGTTATTTGGCCACTGGATTAGATATATGAACTGAATGTTATGTCAATAATTAGTTGTTTAGATCAGTTGTATATCAGTAAAATTTCAGCTCAATACATTGGATAATTAATGAGATAATACTATTAAAGTCATTAGGAAGCGAATGACCGTGGTAAGCCGACCAAGTTGAGGTGGTTGCGAAAAAGCGAAAACGCAGAACATTGTACTATCTTTTGAAATGTTTAGTATAATACACCTTACAATTTTGGTACAGACGCGTACACTGTTAAATACCTATATAATTATAATATAAAAGAAAACATTATCTTCCAGTTCCACAAAATTACAAAAATCACCGCTAAAGCATGCCGTTCGGTAGGACGCAGGAGGAGTGGGGTGAAGGGGTAATACATTGTTTGCATAACGCACTCAGTCTTGCCAGAAGGTTACTTTTGTAACCTTTTAGATGATTTTTGAACTGCATTTTGAAATAGAAATGACAAGGACGGGTGATGTTTAATCGGTTGCTAAGTTTTTATAAGTAAGGGAGTAAAAGTTCAATTGAAATGATTATTTTACCTTTCAGTAAAAAATCTTGAATAATCATGTAGTTTTTTTTAAACTTTTGTACATGTCTGTACTAAATTTATAACACTATCCTACATATTTTAGAAGGTACCATAATGTTCTGCGTTTTCGCTTTTTCGTAACCACCTAAACTTGGTCGGCTTACCACGGTCATTCGCTTCCTAATGACTTTAATAGTATTATCTCATTAATTATCCAATGTATTGAGCTGAAATTTTACTGATATACAACTGATCTAAACAACTAATTATTGACATAACATTCAGTTTATATATCCAATCCAGTGGCCAAAAAACACCGCGTGCATTAAGACCGTGCTCGTGAAGAACTGAATATCATCATAACTTGTTAAATACTTACGGGATACTAATGAAACTTCACATACATTTGAAGGCAGTTACAAGCTTTAAAATTACGTTTAAAGTAAGTCTTTAGACTTCTTATTGAGAGTGCTGGGGCCAATTGAAGTGTTTTTCTATTTAATGAAAAAACCTTTAAAATATGCATTATTTTGGTTTTGTTATTGCACAACAAATTTAAACTAAGTCCTCGGAAGTCGTGTACAAAATATGATAAGAATCCGCTTAACCATTTCAAAGATCTAGCAAAACCAAAAACGTTACCGCAGCAAAATCTCGAATAACTTCGCAACCGAAGAAAGAACAAATACAAAATAAGGCACAACATTTACTACATCTAGACAACTAATTTTATAGCTAATATTTATTTAAATATTCCCATTAGAAATAAAAAGGTCTGGCTGTGGTAACGTTACGCCAGCAGGAAATGTTTTTGTGAAATAATTAAAAAACTATAAGCGCAACAAATTTAAAAATGTGCGCAACAATTACAGAAGCCGCACAACTAATTACCTATAAGATTCAAATGACCATTACCGACAACATCTGGCCTGGGTAACGGACACGCTGCACGAACGCACGCACGAAAGATCAGTTACGATGGTGGACCAAAGGATTCTGACTATAGTCAAACCCAACTGTCAAAAACGACTTTTCTATTAATTTAGTACCTATGAAACTCCAAATCATGACGTCATAGTATTTTTGCGTCAAAGAATATCGAAAATTCGTTTCGATAGATCGATGAATAAAAATGTAGTTCTTTTTAAATATTTTATTGTATTCAAACGTCTATTGACTATAATAGGTACTCTGACTGACTTTGATGGACTATTGGATACCCCCATCACTAATTAACAAGTACGTCAGAGATTTGAGCATTTGGGAATTGGGGTTTCTGCACTCGGTGTCGGCTAGACTTTTTTGTCGATATATTTAATTTTTTCTGGCATAATTTAACATTGCTCCGGTCCAGGATTTTCTTCCGTGTTGAGGATGCGTTTACAAATATAACAATTCACACACACATCGCACCCAGACCGGAATCCGGGCTATCTAGGCCCTGCACCCATCTCCAGTCATATCTTATACCAAATGTCTTATTTGGGTAGTTTCCTTTCAATAGAATAAGAAAGAGAAAGAAAGAAAAATAATTTTATTTGCACAACCTGGACACAGATACAAAAGTAGATAAAAAAAAACCAGTAAGAAATAATTAAAACAAAAATAATTAAAAAAAAAAACAGTGATGTGTGTCTCAGCGTTGGACAAATTAAAATATTGAAAAATAACTATACTTTCGATCGACCGATACACTAACTTTTAGATATTTTGTAGCAATTTTTTAAGAAATAAGTACTTTAATGGTTGTAACATTAAAACTTTATTGTTGGTATAACATAATTAATCACACACATCTATAGTTCTTAAATTTAAGCACATGGTTACATTATTGTTAAAGTGGCGTCGAGTCGCGGAGGAATACGCCTGTCGCCCGTACGCGACGAGGGTTGGAGCGCTCTCTCGCGCCGCCGCTCGCGCCACCTCGGCCTGCGTTGGCGCGCGGGGTGTGCGGGCGGCGGAGGGGGGGGCGCGTTGCAGCCACAGTGTAGCGAAGCCACAGCCTAACCAAATAAAATCCCGCGCTACAGTACGTTATTTGACGCAAAAAGAACTATGACGGCATAACTCAGTTTTTCATACAAATTTCATAGAAAAGTATCGTTTTTGACATTTGGATAAATGTATTGAATTCGACTAGTTCGAAACTACCGTATTATACCAAAACCTAGGCCGTACCTTACTACAAAACAAGGTTTTTCTATAGCCTAGGTCTAAACCATTGAGCCAGTTTTTGTATTTCAAATTTAAGGTAGATGACAATAAGATTCAAAATACAAAACCTGACTCAATGGTTTAAACCTTGACTAAAGATAAGTTTTGTTATAGGAGAGATAATGATGACGAGGGATAAATGGTAACAACAGGAAAAATAAAATGTGCGTGGTGTAGATATCACATATGAATATTTTATTTACGAGTAGTGATATAGATATATTACATTTTACAATAAATATAAGGTACAAGGTGATCCGCTACACACGTCATAACTGGGACGGCTGCACTGACACCAGCACCACCTGGCGGCACACCGCTGAAACAATAATAATGGATGTGTAGCCTTATTCGTTAATAATAGCTTAATTATTGTTTGGGGTACTTATTTGTAGTCAATGAAGTTTTTTTAGTATTAACTTTGATTATTAATTAGTACGAAATACACAATCAGCTTCTTATTTAGTGACGAACGTATATAAAATAGTATAGGGCGTAAATAAATCACATGATTTTTGACCCTCTTTCATTTCCTTGGAGCAGATTATTAAAATGTCAAGCTTCTCCCTCCTTTAGAATGATGTTCCACAATAAAAAATACCCCGACATTTTTTTTATATCATGTAATATCATCAAATTACTTCTCTAGCCCAAGGTATGGCGAGCAACCCCGGCTAAACATCAGCCCTGTTGGGCCCCATCTGTGGTGGTTTGTCATACAATGGCACCCTTCATTTATGACGTAATATCTAGCCGGCCTCCGTGTAAAGTACTTTTTTTATGTGATATGTCGGCAAACGAGCTTACGGATTACCTGATGGTAAGCAATCGGCGCTGCCTATGGACACCCGCAACACAGGAGTAGCGAGTGCGTTGTCGACCTTTTAGGGATTAGGATTTTGGAAATTAAGGAATTGGGGAGGGATCGGCGGAGGGGAAAGATTGGGCCTCCGGTAACTTCACTCACACGGCGAAACACAACGCTGTACTATGTGATATGTAGTATATGAATACCTTTGTCGGTGAGAGTCTCGTGCGTGACGATGGAGGCGGCGAGGGCAGGCAGCGCGGGGCCGGCCGGCGCGGCCGGGGGCGCCGCCAGCACCAGGTCGGCCGCGCCGTCCGCCGCGCCCCCCTCGCCGTCCAGCGACACTAGCTGCCAGCGCGCCAGCTCCGCGCGAGCCGACATCTGCGTACCCGCCTGTCAATATTCATTTCATTATTACTTTTCGCCCACATCAGTTTCGATCTACATTCGATAAATAACAATCGATTACTATTTATAATATATTACATTAATCTATTATCATCATATATTATTATCATAATATATAATATCAAACATGATCGTGAAATATGATGACTATTATTGAAACCTGGCAAGAACTAAATTGATTTTTAAGAGCTGTAATTATGAAACAATGAATTTATTTTTGCAAATAGGCCATTAAACGGCACTTTTATTACTACTAAACTAGATGAAGCCGGCATTTACTATCTGACTACTCTGAGAAGAAATGCCGAAACAAACTCAGAGCTCAGTCTCTTTTCAAGTCCAGACAATGTAAAAATAACATAATGTGAGAAGAAAGTTCTGAATTTATTCAGTATGGGGTAAAAAACACATCATGGGGAAACCTGAACTTATAAATTGTAAGTTTAAAAATATAAATTTACTTGATTGATGCTCGAGCATTTGCGGGTATGAGAATATGCTTTTGCTCAGCAGTAAGCAGTAATAGGCTTTTTTGTGAGGGGAAAATCGTCAAATGACTTCTACGGAGGGAGTGTCAGGCTCTTACTGACTAAAAAGCCCCCGTTCCTTCTCCTGCTCTAGGCCGGTGCCTCATTGCGCTTACCCCGCAACCCCGGCTGAACATCAGCCCAATACGGCACTGTCTGTGGTGGTCTATTGGCTCTTTGAGCCGCCGTACGCTCGTGTCTGGTTCTGGTCGGGCGGCGAGCTACCCTTACTCGCTGTCCTGAGACCGCTGTGTGTATGATTCAGCATTCCCTACAGTACAAGTTACTCACATCGACGTAAGTGGTGACATCGGCGGCGTATTTAGCTTCGTGGAAAGGCGTGAACCCCGAGTCAGCGGTAAGTCGTAACGCGCGGTCGATGACGGCACAGGTTAGCGAGCGCCAAGGGTCCACTATCAGGTACGCCTGGTCGGACCCCGAGGAACTCTGGGACCCATCTGACGCAGCCCGACGTTCTTCCGGAGAGGACAGGCCCGGACAAATCTGGATAATTTATCTTTGTTACAAATTATACAAACATTTTGATCAAAATATTGACTTATTTGTTAGACATAGTAAATTGCATTGACTGTACGGTTGGTGTGGTAATCGTGCTTATGGTACGTGCTTATGGAACACAGAAAACCGACGTGAAACAATCACAGCGCTGTGTTTTGCTCTGTGAGTGAGGTTACCGGAGGTCCAATCCACTCCCTCCCCCATCCCTTCCCAATTCTTTAATATCGGCAACGCACTCTTAAATCTCTTGGTGTTGCAGGTGTCCATGGGTGACGCTGATTGCTTACCATCAGATAACCCGCCTGCTCGTTTGCCGACAAAGAAACGTGTCGTGACGTAATTATAACCGTATAAGACCATCGTGTCCAATAAATATCTATTCTAAATAAAAATAAAAATGATATTCTCATCGACCAACCTCTTGCGAAGTCCTTCCAGGGTCGATGATGGTGGCTACAGCGTCCGCTAGAGCATCGTGCACGAGGTACGTGTGCGCTCGAGTGTCTGTGATGACATATGTCTCGCCCGCCGTCGCCTCTTCGTACGAGGAGTTGTTGTCCGCGCAAGAGACTTCGTCCAACGCGCCTTCGGGGTAAGGATGGCTTTGAAGCAGATCTAGCTTCTCTTTACCTGATTGTAAACATTGTAAAGCTACAATTACATTGGGGTAATCATTTGTGGTATTCATTACTTGTTTAAAATGATTTTCAACATACACAGATAATATTCCAGTTTTAGAAACTAGAGTTATGGATAATTTTTCTTTATTTATATAATAGGTTGGATAGCAAGCTATCGGATGATCTGATGGTAAGCAATTGGCTCCGCCCATAGATGACCGCAACATCAATTGCGTTGCAGGTCTTTTGGAGATTGGAGAAATGGGGTAATTTAACTCGACGTTTCAATAAAAAATATTAAAATATAACTATAGTTTTATTCATCAATTTTTCGACACGCAAAATTTTTTATATATACATTTTTTTTATTAAGAAATGTTATTTGTACCCATAAATATGCTATGAAGTAATAATTTGTATGAAACTACAAATTTCATAGAGAAGTATAGTTTTTGACGTTTGGATAAACGTATTGAATTTGACTAGTTGGAAACTACAGTATTCACTCACCGTGTTCAGTAGGCAGTAGCCGGCAGAGCTCGTAGCCGCGACAGGGCGCCGCGCGGGAAACCCGAAACCGCGTCGACCGAGACTCCCATTCCGACCCCAGCTCTAGACGACAACAGAGTATATGGATTAAAATACAAAATTAATTAAATTGACTATGCGAACCGAAACTTTTTTTTTCAAAATAGATACTTCTAGCTACTCTCCCGCTGCTCGATTCTATTTGCTCGAAGCATGATGTTTTATATAGCCTATAGCACTCAGGAACATTGTAGCTATCTATCAGTGAAAGAATTTTGGGTGTCCGTTACCCAGGCCAGATGTTGTCGACAATGGTCATTTGAATCTTATAGATAATTAGTTGTGCGGCTTCTGTAATTGTTGCGCACATTTTTAAATTTGTTGCGCTTATAGTTTTTTAATTATTTCACAAAAACATTTCCTGCTGGCGTAACGTTACCACAGCCAGACCTTTTTCTTTCTAATGGGAATATTTAAATAAATATTAGCTATAAAATTAGTTGTCTAGATAAAGTAAATGTTGTGCCTTATTTTGTATTTGTTCTTTCTTCGGTTGCGAAGTTATTCGAGATTTTGCTGCGGTAACGTTTTTGGTTTTGATAGATCTTTGAAATGGTTAAGCGGATTCTTATCATATTTTGTACACGACTTCCGAGGACTTAGTTTAAATTTGTTGTGCAATAACATAACCAAAATAATGCATATTTTAAAGGTTTTTTCATTAAATAGAAAAACACTTCAATTGGCCCCAGCACTCTCAATAAGAAGTCTAAAGACTTACTTTAAACGTAATTTTAAAGCTTGTAACTGCCTTCAAATGTATGTGAAGTTTCATTAGTATCCCGTAAGTATTTAACAAGTTATGATGATATTCAGTTCTTCACGAGCACGGTCTTAATGCACGCGGTGTTATTTGGCCACTGGATTGGATATATGAACTGAATGTTATGTCAATAATTAGTTGTTTAGATCAGTTGTATATCAGTAAAATTTCAGCTCAATACATTGGATAATTAATGAGATAATACTATGAAAGTCATTAGGAAGTGAATGACCGTGGTAAGCCGACCAAGTTTAGGTGGTTACGAAAAAGCGAAAACGCAGAACATTATGGTGCCTTCTAAAATATGTAGGATAGTGTTATAAATTTAGTACAGACATGTACAAAAGTTTAAAAAAAACTCTTTATAATATTAGTTAGTATAGAAGTATAGAGGTATAGATTAGTATAGACTAAATCTTTACTAGATACTTGTTTATTGTTTGTTGTTTTTTCTCTCTCTTCTTCATTCACCAGATCATTGTTCTTGGCGCGAATGCATAGTTTAAGTGTGGAAATTGTTTTGGATTAGGTGTTGTTTATGTGATTGTACTTAATTATTTTAATATATACGTAATATTATGTGACCGTGCTTAATTATCCTAACTAATATTATAAATGCAAAAGTAACTCTGTCTGTCTCTTCTTCAAGCCTAAACTACTGAAGTGATTTCTGTGAAATTTGGTAAGTACAGACATAGTTTGGAACTTGAGAAAAGACATAGGATAGTTATACAACAATCTGCAGGATGTCACTATTTCACGCGAACCGAGTCGCGGACAAAAGCTAGTTTTAATATAAAAAATTGTTTATTCCCAAATCTTCCTGAATCATCTAATGCAACAAACAAGTCAGTCAAGGGAAGTGGAAACTATTTAGTTTCTCTCCTACTCAAATATTTGCGGCATCCAAGACAGTCATTCATGTCTCTCGGACGCGCCGGACTTCAGTGTTCCGGTGTTTTCATGGTTGTATCTACTGTAGATCTTGGCTTACAGGAGTTGCAGCGGTTTTGGGAGGTTGCGGCGGGCTTGTCCCGATAAAAAAGAAGCGTGATGTTTTATAGCCTATAGCACTCAGGCACATTGTAGCTGTCAATTAGTGAAAGAATTTTCATTTTTTCCTTCGAAATCTGACCAACCGTTCCCAAGATACCTTATAGATTATTCCATTTCCAATACTTTTAGTGCAACCCATGTAACGCTCTGGTTTCTATTTCCCAGTTAGACAAAGTATTATTGATGTATTTCTTTTATTTATCAAATTTCCCTTTCTGCGATTGAGAGAAACACTGAGATTGTGAATTGAAGAATTGTGTTACATTAATAGCGTTATCAGAATATTTCATAGTTATAACTATACGCTATAACTTCTCCACCCTCCCCTTTGGCGATAGAAAAGTGTGTAGTTATGGAGAAAAAGAAAAATTGGGTACTTTAATTGGTCAAAAATAAATTAGGTAATTCGACATGAAACACAATAAAATATTGATAAATAATTATAATTTTATTCATCGATCGATATACTAAGTTTTAGATATTTTTCAGCTAATTATAAAGAAATAAGTAAGCTATTTGACGCAAAAATACAATGACGTCATAACTCAGTGTTTCATACAAATTTCGTAGAAAATTATCGTTGTTGACATTTGGATAAAAGTATTGAATTTGACTAGTTGGAAACCACCCTATTTGGTGAATTTATAAATTAGGTTGGGTTAAGAGCCTAAATCCCTCTCCTTCCCTGCAATCCCCATTCCTCTATTCCCTACCCCAAAGGACTGGCAACGCACTTGAAATACTTCAGTGTTGCGGATAGCCATAGACTGCGCCGATTGCTTACCATCAGAGGTCATTCGTCTTCGTAGTATGCTCGTTTGCCGACCAAGTTTCAAGTTTCCACAGGAAACTTTTTTATAGGATACAATAAAAAGTCTTTTTCCTGTGGAAACTTGATCACTTTCAAAACAGCTTATACTTTTTATAATAATATAGTTCCTCGTATATATCGTACAATGCTGAATATGAATATACGTAAAAACGCACGAGTCTTGAAACTAGTCAAATGATCTCGTCAAACGTTACACGAGTAATTGAACCATAATTAATTAGTACTAGGTAGGTGAACAGTCACGTCAGTGTACTTACAATAGGGTGTACGGTTCCGTCAGTTTATCTATAATAATTCTTCTGTAAAAAGCCCGTTCAAAAAGCTAAAATAAATTTACAAACAAGGAATGCAGCATAAGCGACATTTGTTATTCAAATAAAAGTAACAAAGTAATATACATATTTAATAGAACAAAAGTAAACACTTATAAAAATAGTTGCTAGGTTTTTGCTTCCATAATTTGATTAAATATTAATAAATAAATATTTAAACATAAAAAGTCTTGGTTTTATTATTTGATTCTGCTAATAAATGTTAAACATATCCATTGCTTGTTAGATTTAGAGGGTTTCAATAGTCTTCGTTCCTTCTTCTCTAAGCTGTTACTCGAAAACAAGATTCTTCCATCATCAGAAATACAATAAGCATACATTACATCTTAAGGAACCATCGATTCTCCCTGGACAAATCCGCGACGCTCGAGTAACTGCAGCGAAAGTCATCAGCAAAAATATCCTGGTCACCTACTAGCCACGTTATTTTTGACTAAAATAATGTTTTCCTTGCCATTTCTAATAGTTATAGAATTATAGAGTTTTGTTTCAACTGTGCAGGAGTGCGATCTGTTCAGCATATAGATGATTACTGGTCTTTTCCTGGTTCCTTTTTATTTTTGAGCGTGATTATCATTGAGTGACTTATTCTTCTTCCGCCCAAGGTACTTCTACGCCCAAGGTCTGAAGTTAGCCGTTTGTCTGCGCAATGGATCTTTTAGGAACAAAATTGTGTACTGCGCAGCTAATCGGCTAACTTCAGACTCGACAAGATACGTCAGCGGTATTGTACTGTCAGACTCTTAATGACCAAGACCCTTCCCGTTGCTTCTTCTGCTTCTAACCGGAGCACATTGTTGGGTTTGCACCTGCATCTCTTCTTGACTTATGACTAATTTGTGTGAAGTTTCCTCTATAATGTTTGGAACATTTCTGTTTAATGTGAGTTCTTTTGAGGTGAGGCAAATACCCTCTCCTATTCTGCCTATAATGCGACGGAATCTTGACAAATGGGTATTTTCTGCAGTCATTACTTGTACTCCTATAATGTTTAGTAGTATGAGAATGCGTTTCTACTTTAACTTTATTCAAAATATGTTGTGTATATGGAAATAGAAACTCTATTCTTTTAACAATTGATACTATTTCAGTTTTCAATGTTTTTATTTCTTCCAAAAGTTTATCGACATCAGAGTTTGATACTAGCGGTAGTTTGGATAAATCCTTTGCCACATACGTAGGAAAGTTGACTGAGTTAGTTTCTTTGAATAATTTGAAAATACATTTTATATTTGTTTTGCTTTGTCCTTGCTTGATGGAATCAAATTGATCTTTACTTTTGACCATCTTGCTGAGCTGCTTTGTAGCGTCATACATCTCTTCTTGGGAATAATTAGCTGTGCATATCTTCTTTAACGACCTCTCGTTCATGCTAACAATGTTATTTTGTATAAAAGTTAACATTTCGTGTACTATAATAGTTGATTCCTTATTCTCCCGTATTATTTCTTTTACAAGTCCTTTAGACTTATCATCTGTAATTTAATTTGTAATGTTGATCAATTACCACGTTGGATAAGCACTGGTCTGCAAGAGTTTGAATTTAAGGGAGAATAACTTAGCTTTTTAAAGAAAAGAATTGACTTATGTTGAATCAAAGTGAATTAGTTATGATTGCTTATAATTATTACGGCATATAAAGTGAAGAATGTGTCATTTTGCAGACCATTGCCCCAATTGGAGACAGGCGTGGCGATATGTGACAACTATGGGAGGCTAGGAACAAATTGACAAATGCTGACAAAAGCTGCGGTCGCGCAAGCTAGCCGAGATATAAATGTTGTACACAAACAACATATTTTTACATGTCAGCCGAGTGAATTCATTGATTTTATTGTTAAATAATGTGTGTTATGGAGATAGACAAATGATTAAAATGATATATCTTTTTAATTAGTGTAATGTAAGAACCGTTATGTATGTATGTCTTATGTACATGTATTTGATTAGTGTAATGTTAAAAAAATTGTAATGGGTTACTTTGTTTTATTTATTTTTAACTCGATACGAACATCATACGTATAATCGTAATTTTAATCCATAATTTGGAATGCCATCTACTGAAAAAATGCCCGATTACTACAAAATTATTCCTTATCAGTTGATATCCTAGCTAACAATTTCATTGCTGTTAGCGCCACTACTCATCCTTTGATGGATTGTGGTAGGAATGGGTACTAGTTAAGTTTCTCACAGCTTGTTGGAATTCTTTGTTAGTGGGCGTAAAGCTTGATCTTGTGTTACTTACAATATGTTTTGTTTGTTTTTCCAAGTGCATAAATTATATGCTAGGAAATGAATTGCAAGACTATACAGTGAATTATGGAAAAGTGTAGTTATGACCTCTATGCTGGAGATGTGTATGTAAATGAATTCCGCGCGAAATAAAATATGTTTTCTAAAAGTGGGTTAGGTGGCAGACAAAATGCCAATTTTATTTGTTCTCTTGGTGATGTATAGTGATTAATACTTATACTAATACTATAAAGAGGTAAAATTTGTAAGTTTGTATGTAGGGGGTAATCTTTGGAACCACGGTCGAACTCCCAAAATTCTTTCACGTATTAATAGGTACAATGTTCGCGAGTGCTACAGGCTATAAAACACCACGCTACAATCAAATGGAGCCGAGTAGCGAGTGAAACTACGCGGGAGTAGCAAGTTATAGATAGTTCAGTAGGTTTTCACACACAACATTTACTATTGTGTTTTCTAGTTTTTATATCAAGAGTCGGATCAGTGGAGTTCGATGTTTTATTTCATTCCTAACCGGAATACCTACTGCATACCCTTCTTCCCCGTGCTCGCTATTGAGTGAGAGGTAGTGTTGGCCTCTTAATACCCCTTTTCTCGTCCTCGTCCTGGCCGAGGCTACATCATTACGCTTACCAACACAACCCCGGTTGGTCACACTAAGCTGTAGTTTGTTAACGAAACGTCTCCCAAAAGACAACAGATAACTAACCTTCGTACGTGTTGACTGCACTATCATTAATGTTCGCCGCGAGCATTTCATGCTCGTCCGTGTTGTGTTCTATGAACACATCCTGTAACAAACACACACTTCTATTTAAAACAACTACAAAGTCAAAATAATTTATTCCAATTAAACCATAAATAAGTACTTTTGAAACGTGAACAACATGGGATACGCATTTAGACCATTCGGTAGCCATAAGTTTTTGAATGCCTTCCTGTAACTGATTCACTAATAGTTTACCGATTTTTGTGATCATCACTACACTGTTATATGTGGTATCATTACTTCACAAAATGACAGTGGTTAATGTCAAATCTGGAATCGAATAAAAATTTAACGTTCAAGATTCTACATCGCGGTAGAAGAGTTCTCTACACAATTAGCACCGATACAAAAATCCCGACAACAACAGTGGGCAGTAGCCCACCAGACATAAAACCCGTCCTGTCGAAGGAGGATGAGGAACTTTCCACCCTGTTCTCTCATAGCTCTAAACTAGTACCCCTTTTCTGTAAGGGTAAATTTATCAAATGATTTCTCTCCCTCAGGGTGAGGGCAAGAGGAAATGTCAGACTCTTACTGACTGAAAAGCTCCCTTGCCGAGCCCGCGGTGCCTTATTGCACTAGTCCCACAACCCCGGCTGAACATCGACCCTGTAAGGCCCCGTCTGTGGTGGTATACTCAAAATAAACTTAAGAATACAATTTTATCAAGTGAATTTTATCAAACTGAACAAAGGCGAGTCTTATCTAGCGTACCAATCACATGTTCCTCATCTAAAAAACGACTCTTGCGCAACTAACGAATCTTACCATATTACGTATCGGAGATTAGGGTACAGGTAAAAAGTGGGGTTCCTTGTATTCCTTGAGTTAAATAAAAGTGGTTTAGCATTGATATATTTTTTTAAGGTCACATTTATGTGGGATTAATTGGCATACATTCTGGTTTATTTCCTCTTAAATTTATAAATTATGAATAAACAAAAAATACGTCCTATCGTCTTACGTCATCTGTCTTATCTCTCTTCTTATTAATTCCTCTTCACACTTCATCGTTCCTAGTAGTTCATACATTTCTTCCTGCTCATTCATACGTTCCCTTTCACTCAATATTCACTCCACATTTATGACCACAGCATGACAGTTATTTATGTCTCGATCATGATAGATAGGGTAGAGTAATAATATGCATGGTGCAGTGACCTTGGGCGGCGGATGTTTGTAGTGCAGACTGATCTTGCTGAGCTCGTGGTCCAGCTCGGCCAGCTGGGCGGCGTGGCGCGTGCCCCGCGCGCTGGGCCCGGCCGCGCCGCCCGCCTCGCTCGCCTCGCTCGCCTCGCCCGCCTCCACGCCCTCCGCCTGCGACCAATCAACTCGTCAATATCCAACATAATACAGACTTCAGCTAGGTACTACTAGTTTAACAAGTAGGTTATACATATTCCCGTGTGTATTGGTTGTGAGTGTGTACCTTGGGTATATTATGCAAGGGCGCACGATGTGTAGGCGACAGTGCCGGGCTGTATTCCAGCGGAGACTGAGGGGAGACTGGTCCCTGGATCAGAATAAAAAAAATCAATTATGCAAATCGTCGTGGTGGCCCGGAGGTTAAGGAGCCCGCTTCTCATGCATGTGGCTTTTTCCGAGTCATATGTACTTTCTATGATTATTTAAACACCTCTGACATACGGTGAAGGTGAGGAAACCTGGACTTATAATCTCTAATTATAAGTTTGCCACCCGCATTGAGCAAGTGTGGTAATTAATGCTCAAACCTTCTCCGTGTGAGAAGAGGCCTTTGCTCAGCAGTGGGCACTTATGGCTGATGAATTATGCAATTAGCAAGCATTGCAACTGTTGCTCCTAAGTGTTGTGATCGAAATAATCACTGAATGAAAAATGACTGCACGGTTGGCGCGGTGGCTAGGCAACTAGCTGGCGCGCAACGTGTCTCTGGTTCGATTCCCGCACGGAACAACTCTTTGTGTGATCCACAGATTGTTGTTCCGGATGTAGGTGTGTTGTATATGTGACATTGTATGTTTGTAAACGCACCCAGGACACGGGAGAAAATCATATGTGGCATACATATGATAGGTGGGGCAACGTTTTAAAAAAAAACTATGGCTCACAGAAAATCGGCGAGGCCCAACCCTTCTCCTCAATCTCGATCCTCAAATCCCCTATACTTAATCCCTAATAAGCTCTTAATTTTTTGGTATTACTAGTGTCCATGGGCGACGCTGATTGCTTACCATCAGTTAGTCCGTTCGCTAGTTTGCCGACCTATTACATTAAAATTAAAAAAATATATAAATATTAACTAAATATTAAATTTTCTAAATAAATAAAAACTCACGCTGTTGGATATGGAGGCGAGTTTATGTTGCAGGGTCAGCATGTACTCGCTGTAGGATTGCGGCTTGTTCGGGGTGCTCGGCTGAGAGGAACCCGTCGAGTTAACTGCAGTCATGCCTGAAATTGTAACACGAATATAATACTACTAAAATCCAAACTACTAATTGTCAATACTGATCGCCGCCCATGGTCACCCCGCAACAACAAAGGAGTAACGAGTAGATTGCCAGCATTGTGGGGTTAAGGGTTTTGGATATTTAAGGATTCAGAAGGGTTGAATATAGCTTATCATCAGGTAATCAGTACGCTAGTTTGACGTACTATCACAAAAAAAAAACATCTTTAAAGAAACCTAAAAGGCGCTTTTACATTAATATACGTTATGTCCTTTTCATCAGGTAGTCAGCGTCACATATACAGGTACATCAAGTGCTCAATTGTATAGACGCACACAAAACACAAAAAAAAACATATACCATAAATCTCTTAAATATCGGTACAGATAAACAATCAATGGCATCTAATCACTGTCAGTGTTCAAAAATATGGAAGACATTAGGAAAATTAAATTAAAGATAGGATTTTAAGTATTATGTCACTCGTACCTGTACCTACTAATGTGTACCCTGAATGTCGCTATAGTTGCCAAGTTTCATGATGATACAAGAACAAGTAGTGTGTTTGAACACTCTATCACTTTCCCGCACTGTTTCTGCAGCACTCACGACCGTCACAAGGATGAGGATATCACAATGAAACTACTACGTCACAAGTATATCTGTATATTCAGTACTAAACAAAACTTACATCTTAGCGGACCTAGTCAACTCACGGAGAATCTTAACACCGCGATTCAGAAAAAATGGCTTTTTGAACAACGCCATCTAGTTATAAAAAACTAACTATTTTCAACATTCCGCCCACCAAGGAACTATTTTTCATAGTCCTTAAATTAAGAAAATCACATTTATATAGGCACCGCCCACCATGAGAAAATCATCTAAATTAAAACAGAACCTTACAATATAAACAAAAAAAAAATTATACAACATACATTTCTATAATCATATCACAAAACAAAACATTTATCTCTGTATCAGAAAACAGCTGTTTTATAACTACTGAGTGACAGGTAAAATAAATATTTTTGAAGTGGGCCTTTTTATTACAGCTCTTTGAGTACGTAAGGTAACTACTCTCGTAATTTTGTCCAGTCCAGGGTGTTTCTCTACAACTCTCGCCAAAAGCCATTTACAAGGCGGCAAGTCATCCTCCTTTACAACTACTACATCGCCAACATTTGGTTCCGGAATTTGACAGGTCCACTTGTAACGATGTAAAAATTTTGACAAATATTCCTTTGACCAACGACGCCAAAACTCCTGCGTCATTCGTTGTGTTAATTGCCAACGACGTAAATTGGATACGTTAGACATCTCAAAATTGTGATCAGGTACAGCAACCAAGGGTTCCCCAATCAGGAAATGACCAGGCGTTAAGACATCAAAAGCATCAGACTCTGTGTTCAAAGTGGACAAAGGCCTAGAATTAAGGCAACTCTCAATTTGCACCAATACAGTGGATAGTTCCTCATAAGTTAGAGTCGAATCGCCTATAACACGTTTTAAATGGAACTTTACTGACTTAACGCCCGCCTCCCACAATCCTCCGAAGTTAGGCGCATGAGGTGGGATAAAATGCCATCTTGTCCCAGTTGAAGCTAATGTTTCACGTATTTCTTTTAAGTAAGTTGACCTTTCTGATGCAAATAAATCGTGGAGTTCTCTTGAAGCCCCGACGAAATTTGTCCCGTTATCGCTCCAAATATCCGTACACAGACCCCTACGAGCTACGAAACGTTTGAACGCAGCTAAAAATCCTTGTGTAGTTAAATCACTGACCGCCTCAATGTGCACCGCTCGTGTGGCCATACAAATAAATAAGCAAATATATCCCTTATGAGCGTGATGACCTCGTCCCTTTGTCGTCCTAATAAATATCGGACCTGCGTAATCAACGCCACTATACTTAAATGGTCTTGAAGGACTAGCTCTAGCCTCGGGAAGTTGGCCCATCAACTGCTGTGAAGTTCTTGCAGCTGCTTTTACACATGGAATGCACCTTTGGACATAGCCTTTAATTAAAGCTTTACCTCCAATTATATAATACTCTGTGCTTAAGTATGTAAGCGTTAATTGGATTCCACCGTGAAGGGTTTTGGCATGCGCGTGTGCTATTAGTAAATCAGTTAATTTAGACCTTTTAGGTATCAGTATTGGGTGTTTTGTATTCAAAGAAAGCTGTGATTTTTCTAATCTTCCTCCTACCCGTAAAATGTTTTCTTCGTCTAAATAAGGACTCAAAGACTTGAGAGGTCCTTTTAATTTGATCAAATGACCTTGTTTCCTGATAACAGCAATCTCTTCCTTGAAACCTTCGGCTTGACAAATTCTAATAACGCATTTGCGAGCTTCATTCAACTCTTCTGATAGAAGATAGCTATTAAACTGGTTATTATTTCTTATTAACTTCAAAAAACGTCTACAGTAGGCCACAACCCGTATTAATTTTGTAAACGTCGAAAATCTAACCCATAGGGACTCATCAGTGACAGTGACATTAACCTTCGCAATTTCTAAATCGGTCTCTAATTGTTTTGGTTTACTGTAAGGTATTTTTGCTTCCGACAGAAATGCTGGACCGTTAAACCAGGAAGAACATTTATACAATTCCGAGGGGTAGATTCCTCGAGATCCGAAGTCAGCAGGATTTTGACCCGAAGAAACATGCGACCATTGGGTTGAATCTAACGTTGTCAATATCTCTGAGACCCGGTTAGCGACGAACGTCTTCCAGCGGTTAGGATGGCTATTGAGCCATGCTAGAACTACTGTGGAATCAGTCCACGCATGAACTTTACCTATATCTATCCCCATGACCTTAGCTACTTCAACTAGGAGTTTAGTGACCATTACTGCTCCGCACAATTCAAGCCTTGGAATAGATACCTGCTTGAGGGGTGCTACTTTTGTCTTGGCCGTCACTAAAGTAACACGTATGTTACCATCAGCATCAATAATACGAATATAAACCACTGCTGCATAAGCTGCCTTGGACGCATCGGAGAATCCATGCAGTTCAACGAGAGTAACATCCGAAGTCGTCCCGTACCAACGCGGTATCATGATATGTGAAAGCATTGATAGCCCATCCAGGTAAGTATTCTATTCATTTAAAATGTTTATTGTTACTTCCTCATCCCAGTCTAATCCTGCTATCCATAGCTTTTGTATAAGTATTTTTGCTAAAATAACACTAGGTGCCACCCAACCAAGTGGATCATATAATTTAGCAATGTGTGAAATTATTTTTCTTTTAGTTACAGGTCCAGGTTCCGGTTCAAACTTTACCGAATACTGGAAATGATCGGAACCACGATTCCAGGTAAGTCCTAACAATTTAACTATTTCATCCTCTTTAAAGTGTAAACCTTCTCCGATTAATTCCTCATTCATTTCCTTTAATTTATTAAGTAAATCTTCATTATTGCACATCCATTTTTGTAGTTTAAATCCTGCTTTACTCAATAATGAATTCATTTCTCTATAAATTGTTAAACCTTCTTTAACACTACTGCAACCGGTTAACAGATCATCCATGTAGAAATCGGTTATTACCCTTTCAGCAGCTGTCGGATATTCTCTGCCATGATCGTGCGAAACTTGCTGGAGGGCCTTCACCGCCAGGTAAGGAGCTGATGCAGTGCCGAAAGTGACTCTCAACATACGATAGTGTGTTACTACGTCTTCCGGCTCTTCCTTCCACAGGATTCTCTGATAATCGATGTCAGCATTAGCTACTTTTACTTGCCGATACATCTTAACGATGTCCGCCGCTAAACATATCGGATGTTTCCTCCAACGCATCAGTAAATGTCGAAGTTCCGGTTGTAAGCGGGGTCCAATCATCAATTTGTCGTTTAATGAATAACCCATTTTGCCTTTACAGGACGCGTCGAACACTACACGCACCTTGGTTGTATCCTTATCATCCCTTACAACTGCGTGGTGGGGTAAGTATATTGAGTTTGCCTTTTCCTTTTCTTTTTCAGGTACCTTTTCCATATGGTCTAACTGTAAATATTCCTGGATTACTTTATTATATTTTTCTTTCAAATCTGTATTTTTCTTCAATCTGATATGTAATGAATTTAATCGTTTTTCAGCTATCTCTTCAAAACCACCTACCCGGTGAGTTAAAGTCTGTTCGCGGAATGGAAGTCTAACCACATACCTTCCATCTCCATCTCTGGTGGTGGTTGCCGAAAATAACTCTTCACATTGTTTTTCTTCCTCCGACAACACTCTTACTTGATTGTTGGGTTCGGCTTCCAACTCCCAAAATTTCTTTAATTCCTCATTTGCATCTATATGAGCATGCATCACGACTATATTCGAAGACACCCCAGCAGATGACTCTACAACACCAGTCATTATCCATCCAAATTTCGAACACTGGGCTATGACTGACCCATTCACATTCTTTTTCAAACCTTCTTCTATGATCTGACTATAAACATCAGCTCCTAATAACACATTTATTTTATTAGGAGTATGATATTGTGGATCTGCCAGATTATTTTCCTGAAGATCTACCCATTCTACGGCCGTTACTTTCGTAACAGGGAGAAGCGTGGTTATGGATTTTAAGACATACGCCTGGACTTGAATATTAAACTGAGAATACATCCGAGGCCGTAAATTTAATGTGACCATTGACTTTGATGTTATTTCTTTATCCCCGCCAACTCCTTTAATTATATGAGTTGAAGGAATTTTCTTCAATCCCAAAAATTGCACTGTCGCTTCAGTAACCAAAGAAATTTGTGACCCTTGATCTATTAATGCCCTTACCACCTCGTAAGTGCCTACTTTCGACTCAACTCTTACGAGAGCTGTGGCTAGTAAAACTGTATTACGCAATTTTCCTGTCGAAAAGCAACTAACGGACTGGTTACCTTTCATGTCGTCTGTGGAAATAGGGCTATCTACATTTTCCTTCGTTAATTTGGTTTCTTTATGTTCTAACGTTCCCACGTTTGCCTGTATGGTGTTCGAACTCGTGGCAGAAGACTCGTTCGAAGGATGCAGTAGAGAATGATGACGACGTTTGCAAATTCGACATCTGACAGTATTATTACATACTTTAGCAGAGTGATTGTTACCCAAGCAATTGAAGCAAATACCCTTTTCTAGAACAAAATCACGACGAGCATTACAATCTAGTTTGTTTACAAACTGTTTGCAAAAACTAAGCCTATGTGGTTCTGAACAAAAGGAACATTGAATATTCGCAACATGTAAACTACTTATCTTATTTGTTATTGTACCTCGATTATTATTACCATGACTTCTAGATCCAGAATTACCTTTACTATCCAAAAATTCCAAGGCTCTATACCGATTGGTTAAAAATTCGGTAAACTGAATTAGTGTGGGCAGTTCCTCTGATGCATTATGCTCAGTTACATTAAATTCCCACTGCTTTCGTGATTCGGGATCTAGTTTCAAAGTAATTATATGGATTACTATAATGTCCCATGAATCTACATTAACGCCGAGATTGGAAAGAGCCTTTAAACAATCATTAGTATTGTCCAGTAATTCTTTTAGCCCAACAGCTGACTCCTTGTCCAAATTTCTCTGACTGAGTAATCTTTTTATAATAAAATGAGACAAATATCTTTTATTGTTATAACGCGCATTCAAAAGTTCCCAACATCGGCCATAGTTGGCATCTGAAATAGGTATTTGTCGAAGAAGTTGTTCTGCCTCCCCAGACAAATATCCTTTCAGATACTGCATACGCTGCACATTATCTAAACTTGTATTTTTATGAATAAGTGATACAAACAAATCTCTAAAGGTTACCCAATCGTTATAATTTCCTGAAAATACCGGAATAATGATTTTTGGCAATTTTACTTGACACTGCTTGGAACTACCACCCTTACTATTTTCTTTGAAGTCTTGTTCCTTAATATCAAATGAATATAATACAGTTTCAAGATCAGTTTTATATTGGACATATACTTCTTCTGCTAAGTTATAAACGTCATTCTTCACATATCGACACTGTTTCAATTTATCAGGCTCATATTCCTCGTACAATTTACTATGGCCGTTGCCTAACTGCTCCCATAATTTTTCTAAATTCTCTAATCTTACTCTGCAATAAGGGAGTGTTATACGTTCCTTAGGTGATTTTTTGAAGTTGACATAAGCTTTTTCTATTCTACTGTATATTTCTTCTTGTTTGTTAGTTAAAGACTCCATTTTCTATATTATACGAAGTCGAACAGATGTTTAAAAATTTTACAAGTCTTAATGAAACAATAATAATCTGGGAAAAATCGGGTATAGGTTACTCATCTCACCCAAAATCTTTTAAAATTAGGCTAAGTCTAAACACAGTTTAAATATTCTAAGTTAATGTTCATATTATTCAATATTTTCCAAGTTAAATTCTTCACGTAAATATGGTTCAAATTTATATAGTCAAGAATTCTTCCACAACTTAGTTACATAAATGATTTCACTAATGAAATTAAAGTTCCACTCACGGTTTTAATCCTGTACTGACCCGACCTGATGACGTAATTAATTCACTGATCACTGTCTTCGTAATGACGTCACGTTCTGCACGTCAACACCTTCTCCAGTCATCCTTGCTGCTGATCCCTGACGGTAATGTCATCTGACACACCGTCTGCAATAGCGCGCTGCACGACGCACTGCTACTGCTGCTTGCTGCTTCTTCCAGTGCCTTGGCCAGTTTGCGCAAGCAATCCGCTTGCCCAGCCAATGAAGTATCACAAAAACACCTCCAGACTTCAGACGATCCGGCTCGAAGGACCAAATGAACACTCTATCACTTTCCCGCACTGTTTCTGCAGCACTCACGACCGTCACAAGGATGAGGATATCACAATGAAACTACTACGTCACAAGTATGTCTGTATATTCAGTACTAAACAAAACTTACATCTTAGCGGACCTAGTCAACTCACGGAGAATCTTAACACCGCGATTCAGAAAAAATGGCTTTTTGAACAACGCCATCTAGTTATAAAAAACTAACTATTTTCAACAGTGTTTAATACAGTTTTTGATTTTATTACACAGTTCGTTAGAAGTCAACATAATAAAAGCTTGTTGGTTATTATATTATTATTGTATTTTACTAGAATATTCGATTACCTGTCATATCCATATCAACTGCCCTCCTAGCCAGCGCCTGGTGCACGGCCCGGTTAGCCACCAGCTGTCCCAGATTCTGGTTAATAATTCCTAAATTCTGCCCGCCCAGAGACAAGTTCTGTCCACCTAGCGCCAAATTCTGACTGCCAATGAGATTCTGTCCACCTAATCCTAAGTTTTGACCTGCTAGACCTGAAATGAATGCAGTTAGCTTAATTTGATATCCCACATACCCATTCGTAGACATCTACCGCACAACATGCATCAAATACAGCATTCACATTCAAGATTCTACATCGCGGTATAACAGTTCTCGACTCAATTAGAACTGGTACAAAATCACGACAACAACTGTCAGGCAGTAGCCCACCAGACACAACACCCAGTTCAGAGGAACCTCCCTTTTGACTGGAGAATGAGGAACTTTCTGTTCTCTCTTAAATATGTGACTCCTCTGGTGTTGCAGGTGTCCATGGGCGGCGCCGATCGCTTACCATCAGGTGATCCGTCTGCTCGTTTGCCTCCTATTTCATAAAAATATATACATATAAATTACTATCAATGTTAAAATATTTTTTTTAGAAAAGTAGTGTTTGCGATGCTGGGGTGGTTCGCTTATATTACAAATGACAGACACCGAGTTAGTCGGGCACTCGAGTGAGACAATTAGTATGGGATAACATAATACATCACTAAATAGTACAAAACAAAGTCGCTTTCTTTGTCCCCCTATATCCCTATGTATGCCTATTGTAGAGGAAGGTTTATATATGTAGCATTGCACGCGTGCCGGGGCGTGTTGCTAGTTCTTGTATTATTATAACCGTAACAAAACAAAAAGCCCGCTTGAACAGATGTTAATAATGGAAATAAATTTCACCATTACCTGTATAATTCCCCAAATTCTGTCCTAGATTCTGTCCCATAAGATTCTGGTTGAGTGCTAAATTCTGGGCGATGTTTTGATGCTGGAAGGCGAGGGCTTGAGGAGCCAGCGGCGCGGCCAGCCCCATCATACCGAGCTGAGTCATCTGCTGACTGGCCAGCTGGTTCACTGACGATTGGAGGGCTTGCTGCTGAGCTGATGATTGAAAGAGGGGATTGAGTCCTGCGTTGGTGAGAAACAAATGTTTATTATTCAGATTATGACGATATTTTATAAGCCTTTTTATGTGTTTCAGCACTTTTTCTTGTCTTGTTGCACTGAGTAAAATTCTTTTGGTAACGCAATTATTTGGCTATACGCCTAAAATTAGTGAAATTAACCTTTTGAACGCCAATGTCGGCTATAGCCGACATGAGCAAGCGTGCCCTGTGCGCCAACCACGGCTATACTCGACAAAAAACAGGTCGCAGAAAAATACAAAATAAACCTATTAAATCATTACTTTTATGTATTTTATTGATACACCTTGAAAGCTGAATGTCTAAACATTATTTAGTTGCATACAGTAAACAAAAATGCATATTCCTCATTTAAATATTTGATGATAAAAAGTAAAATAATTTATGGTTAAAAAAGTAAGTCCCATGACGCCAATGTCGTGCAGAGCCGACTGCTAGTGATGTAGTATCATGTTGACGTATATTATATTCTTAAATTAATTTAGGTAACTTAAGGTATTGTAATATTTGTCATTACAGTTTTTATTGTTCTAACAAAATATAAACGATTGTAAGCACTGAGAAAAAAGTAGTTTTACTTTATTAAAAACTGAAACATATTTGCGTAAATACATTTTCGATATTCCCTTATCGCCAATCATGCGCATCCCTAGCAAGCTCTCGATAAGCAGTCCCCTCTGCGCCATTGTCGGCAGAAGTCGACTGACTCATGACGTCGTAAGCGTATAAAGTGAATTTTAGTGCGGGAAATATGGAACAACAAGAAGTATTTACCACTGAACAATTATTACGTATCTTGGAAGGTACTGAAGACGATGAGTTTTCTGAATCTTTAGATGAAGATGATTTAGAGGTAAGTTAATTTTAATTTAAAGTTATGTTTTGCTTTACATGTAAGTATGTACATACTTAATTGGTTATTATATTCTAAAGAGTGCTCTCTTATTTCGCCTACTCGCTTACATTTTGTAAGGGTACCTATATAATCATATTCAACTGAGCTTGAGAAATTACGAAAACAATTTTTACCCACAATCAATTTTTACCCACAAATTAAAATTAGCTTATGGCACAATTCAAACCAAACGGCCGGCACTGTTACTAGCAAACGATTTTAAGCTTTACCTCAACTGCAAAATGCGCAGTATCGCCTGTGAACTCTCAAGGTCTCGCGGAGCCGCATGCCTTTTTGAATTTTCAAGCGATACTGCGAATTGATCAGTGAGCATTTATAATTGTTGATTGTTGATCCTTTAATGTTTAATTAGGTTAGATACGAGAAACTAAATAATGTATCTATTTTAAGAATATAAATATCGTTATACTTAAAAATCGTTACGTATATACTACGCAATTTCATACGAAAATTTTGATTTATTTTATACATATAATTAATCTGATTAGTGAGAATATTAGAAAGTTCCTGTTATAAAAATTGTTGCTATGTAATAATATCACGTGATAATATTATTCATAAGTGACATGTAAGTAATATGATCTCAAAGTAATTATTAATATTATAACTCAATAATTAAACTAAATGATTGGTAAATAAATAGTTTTATTTGCATTCAATCCATTAACAACCCAAATTGTTGCAATAAGTGTAAATTTCAAGAATAGTAAAAACAAACTACTGTGGCCTTTGAATTTAATTAGATACTAACATCGATAAACTGTATGACACTATGGTACAACTCTAATGTACATGCAACGATGTCTTATAAAAGACTCGTCGACGGCGCCAATGTCGGCTATTCCCGACAGTGAAGTACATCAGTACTGAGAATAGTGCTGTACCTAGAGTTATTTTCATTTTAACTGTTGTGTGTCTTAATCATTGTTTTTATGTTATTAACAACTTCGGAACTACTTGAGTGGAACGTTGTAAAATATTTAATATTGGAATGTTCTTTTTAACATATTAATGATCGACCATTTATCTGGCAAGTATTGATAAAAAAAAAATAATAATGGGTATCGATATAATGTTGAAATCCCTATTTTTTGTAGGTATTTAATTAAGATTTTCGGGCTTGGCGTACAGGGCATAGGAATACCGATATGGCGTGGCGGTGAAAAGGTTAATAATCGTCATAACTGTTCTGTAGGGATTCTAAACAACTTATAAATATAAATCAAATAACAGATCAGCTTTTTATTTGAGTATTTCTAAGAAGAAGAAGAATCAAATGAAAACACGCTCCAACTAGGAGCATCAATATTTATTTGACTGTAAGTAAAAGTTATTTATAATGAAAATTAGAAAATACGGACAGCCAAGTATATCTAAATCAACTGAAAACAGTGATAGCAATGAAAAGACTAAATAACAGAAAAAGTGCATGAAACATGAATAAATTAGGCAGTGCCGCACAATTATCTACTAGACGGACATAAACTATACTCGGAATTTTAATTAGATTCCTGATTTTACAATTTCAGTGTTGCAACGTTATGGAAATCGAATATTTCCGAATCGATTATTCTTGTTTATAAATTTACTCTCGTAAACTTAATTTATCAGGAAATTAAATATTTCTGAACCGATAATTATATAGTTTTGACAATGAATTAACGATCTGATACTTTTCTAATTGTGTGTGAAATTAATAAAAAAAAATGTGATCTATTATGGTAATAATTTATTTTATAAATTATCGCCGTCATCGCTATCGCTGTTATTTTCTGTTACACTTATTATGAATTGTGTCTGTGATATTTATTGTCAATTAACATATCTAGCTTACTCATTTTTTTCTCTTCGTTGACAACATGGGATACGCATTTAGACCATTCGGTAGCCGTAATTTTTTGAATGCCTTCCTGTAACTGATTCACTAATAGTTTATCGATTTTTGTGTTCATCACTACACTGTTATATATGTATGTGGTATCATTATTTCACAAAATGACAGTGGTTAATGTCAAATCTGGAATCGAATTAAAATTCTGACTACCTATAGTCTCTAATTCAATTCCGAAATGTCAAAAACATTTTTTTTTCTATAAAATAGCTTAGCAGTCGTAACATCATTACTTTTGACGTCAAATAACACTTGTTTTGAGTATTTCGTGAAAAATATATGAATGTGTAATTACTTTCAAATAGACTGTGGTTAATGTCAAATCTGGAATCGAATTAAAATTCTGACTATAGCTTATCACTTCAATCTAACAAAGCAAGCAAACTAAGAGAGAAATAGATATTACCAATGAAATCGTTGGCCAGCATCGGTTGGTAGTACTTGGGCTGCTGGTACTGAGGAGGCAGGCGCGCCGCCATCATGGGTGCTGACGTCACGGGCAATATCGTTAGTCACACCATGCGTATAAGGTTACAGTGCACACTTTATGCAGTTAGCATTACATCGCTAGGCATTTTATTCGCAACGAGGGAAGATTCGCTTTAATTCTTAAGGCAATAGTGATATTATTTCATCAGCTCGTCAAAAAAAGTGAATACAAGACAGTGGCCAGCAATGTTGCAGTTACTTGTATGCCCATTTTGGAGGCCCAATCCTTCACCCATCGTCAATCCTCATCTACTATCCGTAAATCCTTAATAACATAACGAGGCCGGCAAAGCACTTGTAATAACTGCTTTTTTGCTGCCTGCTCTTTTGCTGACTTGCGACATAAAAAATATGCCCTAAATTAACCAAATATTTTATTGTAAAAGTAATCGAGTGTAATAGTAAACTAACACCCGGTTTCCGAAAGGCCGATCAATGTTAAAATCAATTTAATCCCTTGTCAAGTCGTTGTTGACTGAATTATCAACAACCAATCAGATGACTTGACAAGAGATTTGACACCTAGTTAGTTGATTTTAACATTGATCGGGCTTTCGGAAACCGGGCATAAGTCTTCAGTTTATTATTTACTAACATAATCTGTATGATACAATATTCATACTTTACTGTATATAACGATTGGCCTTAGTAGCCTGATATTAAAGCTTTAAATAAATAAACCTTGTATGATCTTTTTTTTACTTGCAATAAAGTCGATAGTCTAACAGAATAATGTAGGGAACAACTTTTTTTAATTGGGTCGTCCATTTATCGAGGGAGGTTATATATAGGTAAAATTTGTAATTTTTTATGTAGGAGGCATTCTGAACTGTTGGTAACATTTTTTAAAATTATTTCACTGATAGATAGCTATGTTCCTGAGTTGTATAAAGTATACTTAAAACTTTGAACACTGCTGTTTTTTAAATCTCAGGGGATACATTGCTATTTTTGATTGATGAAAGCCGCGGTAGGGAGCTAGTTGGCTATAAAACATCACGCTATAACCAATGGTAGACGATCAGCTGGTGAAGCTAGTGACAAATATTATTATAGTTTTTTTTCATCTATTTATTTTAGTTCCCCCGTTGCATTGATATTTACAATAGACTGTTTATCTAGATCTTATAAGCATATGAAAGCCTTTGAATTATGGAGAATATTTGATTGATGCCATGGTAAGTTGTAGCTGATATAATGTAGCAGTGTAATTTGCGAATAAATTGTGCTTAGCGATGCATAATGTTGAGAACATACTTGCACACAAACTATACACTAAAGGTTTTTATTTTATCGGAAATATTTTAATAAGATTACATTTTTTATCTTCAAAACGTTTGTTATCATATTCTCACCGACCATAAATTTGAAATATATGTAGAAACGCAAAATAATGCATCATTATTAAAATATTTCAGATGTAAAAAAGAAAATAAAACACGAAAAAATAAAATTCAACTAACCAACAGTCATGTCGATTCCTCAAACTAAACTTCAAACCATATAACTTTATTACTTTATAACTTTATTTTTTTATGAACATAGGCTTTCCTGACTTCCAAATCGAACGGTTGAAACTTAGAAGCAAGCCTGGACGCGATGATTTTATTTATTTAGTTCTGTGCATTGATATGTTTAGTCACACCTTTAGCAAAACAATAGGGCACATAGGGCAAACATTTTTATATATTTCTTAAGCCTATATATAATACGCCATTTAAGGAAGCAGGGTCTAAAGTTGCTCCAATAGGCGATGTTAACTTGCGTGATGCAGACGTAGTCAAATGTTGTGTATAACTCCATCTACCGGCGGATCTTTGTACCATGTGGTCACGTGAGGTTAAATTTGTAATTTTGTATGTAGTGTGTATTCTTTAGCAACGCTGATAGGTAGCTACAGTATTCGTTAGTGCCATAGGCTATCAAACATCACCCTACCACCACTAGAAGCCGAGCAGCGGGTGAAACCGAGCGGCTGTAGCTAGTACATAATAATACATATATCAATATCAGCTTTCCCACCCTTTTCTCGTCCCCGAAGGAAGTTTAACTAACGTATTGTACTACAATGCCTTTGGATTTATTTCGTGGCTATCATTTTATTTTATTTATAATTACATACATAATAATGTTGTTTGATTTGAGTAATCGACATCGACTAAGAAATAAAAATATATGATTGAAATAAAAAGTGTACAAATTAATAACAACGAAAACAAAGAACTAAATATATTTACATTATTATATAGAACTTACCGGGTTGTGTGTTATTGAGTATGGTGTTGTGCAGGCCGATGTCTGATTGTGGGTACGATTGCTGGTTGAGTAATCCGAGTAGGTTGGGCCCGGAGAGATTTTGTTGCTGACTGTAAAAAAATGTATCTTAGTTCTCATACTGTTTATTGTAGATAATGTTATAGTATCCTTAGCGGATATAATTGACTAGGTTTCAAAGTGAAATAATGAAAATATTTTAAACAAGGTAAGGTTGTTTAAGTAGAAAATTACTTAATATTTAATTTTTACTGCTTCGCCTGCGTAGTATGTTAATAAAAAGTAAATTACAGTCGGTCGAGCTGTGAATTTTTAACATTTATAATTTTAGTAGGCTGTCTAACTAGGATAGCTATGGAACAAAAATAGTTTACGCACGTAAACTATGAACAAAATCAAATAGGCTTACTTCATAATATTTTGCTTCAATAACATCCTCTGTATATTCTCAGCATTAGGCATCGCATCGTTGGACCCCGGTGTAGGGGCCGCCATTGTCAACCCGACCCCTTGTAACCCCATATTCAACCCGAGGTCACCTCCCACCCCCATAGGCGTTCCAACCTGACTCAACCCCAATAGAGGGGTATCTGTTGCTATTTGCAACGGAGTCGTTAGGTTAGGTTGAAGATTAGAAGCATTTAACATAGGATTAATAACATTTGGAGCCGGCACTTGTTGCACGCTCGAAATATTAGATACTATTGGTGGGAGAACCATAGTAACGGAGACTGGCACATCTTGCTTAATTTCTACAGGCCTTTCTACAGACTGGACGTCGGGCCTCAAGTCGACGGGAGGCTGAATCTGCGGTGGTACTGAATACTGGTGCGTAGGAACAAATTCTTGTGGGGGGAGGGAGGCAGGTTCTTTCTCTGGGAGGCCGTTGACTTGAGGTTCCGCAAGTTCCACGGGTTCGGGTATTGGTTTTTCCTCTGGAACATTCTCCCCGCGGTCGACTACGGGACTGACTAGAAATCGTGATATTTTCCGCGTTGGTTTCTGTGGTTTCTTTTCGCCGCTCTGTGATTCCGTGCTGCCAGAACGCTCGGGCGCCATTGACCCGCCGTCCGATTGATTAGAACCTGAGAGGTAATAAAAAATATTTTATATAAAGAGACTTGTAATAAAACGTTTATCAATATCAAATTAAATTATTGATGAAGAAGAAGGAAAAAGAACATTATTCAGCTGGTGCAGAGTATTATCTGACCTATAGACGAGGCAGTGCTAATCTTCCTGGCGACGGTGTCTCCGTGGGGCGCGTGGGGCGGGGATGGGCCGGGGGCGGGCTGCGCTGGGGCTGGGGCCGGCTGCGCGGGGGCGGGCTCGGGCTCGGGCTGGTCGTAGGCGAGCTCGGCGGCAATATTGTCGTGGCTGGCGGTCGGCGTCGTACACTCGGAGTTGTCCTGGTTCGAATCCGTCAGGTTTTCCTCGCGTTCAGTCGTTTCGGAATCGTAGTCAGTCTGTAATTGATATATATAATAAACATTAGCAAAACAATATCATCACAATTAAATATGTTTTGACGACATTACATGGCTTATTGAGTTTGAAGGTGCTAAAAAAGAAAAAATATTGAGCATAGGTCGTTTCTAAAATTGAAGAACCGAACAACATTTTAAAGTTAAACAAATCGTATCTAATTTATTATAAGTAGTTTGTACTTGAAATTGAAATTATGAAAAGAACTTACCTTGTCAATATTGAGCCTGAGTGCAGAGTGGTGCGCAGGGTTGAGTACGGGGGTGACTCCAGGGTTGGTAATGAGCTGGTTCACGATATCTTTGATCAGCTCCATAAACGTCGCGCTCTGCCATTCTGGGAGTAAGTTGTTTGACACCTGCATAGATTTTACATTTAATTAATCAGACATTAAGCACACACTATCTATACTAATAATATAAAGAGGTAAAATTAGTAAGTTTCAATGTTTGTAAGTTTGTATGTATGGGGTAATCTTTGGAAACACTCGTTGGCTTCCGAAAATTCTTTGACTTATTAATAGCTACAATGTTCCCGAGTGCTATAAAACATCACGCTACAATCAAATGGAGTCGAGCAGCGAGTGAAACCGCGCGAGAGTAGCTAGTAATATTATAAATGTGAAAGTTTGTGCGAATGTATGATTGTTGAAACTTGGTAAATAGATTAGTGATAACTAGATTAACACACAGGCTTTTTATCATCATTCCACAGGAGAAACCGCGGGCGGGTAGAAATCCATAAAATTTGAAAAAAATAATTGTAAAAAAACTCACTAGATTACTAGCAATCTCCTCAGGATTGACGTCAGTCACGTCAAACTTGAAGGTGACGGTTTTGGACTTGGACTCGAGCTGGCACTCCACCATGGTGGCAGCCTCGTTCACTTCGAGTACCGTCAGCTTCGGCAGCTTGTCCTTCTCCCGGGAACGCTTCTTCGAGCCGCGGGACTTCTTCTCGCTTGTTATTGGAGACGATATGGCCGTACCCGCTGAAAAAAAATAATACATTTGGTATGTGATCCCCCACCACCCAGCGGCCGTGACTAATGAGACACAGCAACATCAAAGCGTCCTTCGATAGCCGACGGACTACCTGATGGTAAGCAAACCGCGCCACTCATGGATACCCGCAACACCGAGTTACGAGTGGGGATCCCCCTTTTGGGGATACGGGTTTCGGATATTTAAGTATTGCAAAGGGAAGGTAAAGAGGGGGAGGGATTTGGCCTCGAATAACCTCACTCACACGGCGAAACACAATGCTGTGGTTATTCGACCCATTCGTGCCAAGTATGGCCGTCCAACATTTGACTACCTGATGGTAAGCAGGACTCTCGTAGTATCAAAGGAGTCACTAGAATTGCGTTGCCGCCTTCTTGTGGGTTATTAAGAGATATAAGCATAGCGGATTTGAGGATTGAATGAGGGCGGAATGGGGGAAGAATATTATACCGAACTAAGAGTCTTCATGGTTTAGACAAAGAAGTAGCAAAAATAACAATTTCAATATCTCACCTTCTTGTTGCTGGACTTCCGCCTGCTTCTCCTCTACAGAGCTGAGCTCAGGTTGCTTGATAGCGTCGGCGTGGTTCGTAGGAAATTCCGTCAATGGAGTGTGGAACTGTTCCTTTTGCCCACCGTTACTCTGGTACCCATTCTCCACCTGTTCTGCCGGAAGGCTCAACTGCTGAGGCTGTTGCACAAGGTCCGGCGGTAGCTGGACTTGTTGCTGGAGAGGCTGAGGAGCTGAGGGCTGATGAGGAACGGATGTAGGTTGTGACTGAGACTGAGGTACTGGTTGGGATATTTGTTGAATTTGAGGATTTATGGTCTGTACTTGTGGCATGGGCTGTAATTGTTGTTGCTGCTGCGGGACCTGTGGCTGCTGGATGGGCAGCGCCAGCGTCGTCTGCGGCACCGACTGCAGCGGCGGAGGCGCCGACATTGCCTGAGGCACCGACTGAACCACTTGCGGGACTGACGCCATCGACTGCGGTATCGACTGAGCTACTGTCATCTGCTGCGGCATCGAATCCTGAACTGATTGCGGAATTTGCTGCGGCAAGCTGGACGCCGCAGAAGAAGCTATGGACGACTCCATCTGGTTGGACTGATACACGTTCTGCATCATGACGGGCTGACTCTGCGCCGGCTGGTACATTTGCAAAGGATTGGCGGAATAATTCTGCACCGGGGTGCCTTCATGACTAGATATCTGCCTCTCGTTTTGCTGTACCAGGCTGAAGTTGTGCTGCATGTGCACGTTGTGGGGCAGGGACTGGCCCTGCAGGCCGGGCACGGCCCGGTACGGGTCGTCGGAGCCCTGCTTGCCATACTGCATGCGGTCTACCGACAGCTGCTGCTGCAGCTGCGGCTTCTGCGCGTACTGGTCGGGCGCGCCGAGCTGGCTGCGCTCGGAGTCCTGGCGGCGGTAGACGGCGCGCTGCTGGTCGAGCTGGTCGAGCAGCTGGCGGCGCTGCAGCAGCGCGGCCCAGTTGTGCGCGAGCGCGTCGTGCTGCGCGTGCAGCTGCAGCGCGTGCTGCGCGAGGTAGTGGTGCTGCGGCGCGAGCGCGCGCGCGTGGTGCGGCGCGTGCGCGAGGTGCTGCTGCAGCGCGAGCTGCTGCTGGGCGAGCGCCTGCTTCTGCGCCTCCAGCTGCTGCTGCGCCGCCACCACCTGCTGCTGCGCCGCCGCCACCTGCTGCTGCTGCGCCAGGTACGTCGGGTCCACGCTGGCCTGCTGCAGCGGCTGCGAGAACTGCTGGCCGTGCTGGAAGTTCACGTTCTGCTGCTGCAGCTGCGAGTTTATCAAGTTCTGCATCTGCTGCAACGTCGCCTCTTGCTCCTGATTCTGCTGCATCACGACGTTTTCCGCCTGTTCCTGTGTCATTTGTTGCTGTTGCTGTTGTTGCGGCTGTTGCTGAGTCTCAGATTCCGATTCCTTCCTGGATTGCAGCGTGTCGGGTCTTTGAATGATTTGTGATAGAATATTCTGCAGGTTCTGTAAGGAAGGATCTAACATTTGGCCCGTGACGAGATTCTGGGGTCCTGCAATGATATTGTCTTGCACCGTGAGTTGATCTTCGAGTTGATTTTGCTGTATGGCGGCGGCTTGGTGAGCTATGATGGTTTGTTGTTGCTGTATGATTTGTTGTTGTAACGCCTGGTTCTGGGTGTTGAACTCCGCGGTTAGCTGTTGGTTCAAGAGGTTCGGCTGCAACTGTGTCTGTGAAGGGACTTGCTCGAGAAGGTTTTGTTGTACTTGCTTTTCCATTAGGACCTGGCCTTGGACCGACTGTTCCAGCATTTGCTGGTTGATGAGATTCTGCTCCATCATTACCTGGGAGAAGATTAAAAGCAAAATTTAAAAAAAAGAAAAGGTAGTCTTTGAATGGGGGCCAATTAAATGCCTTCGTCGGAAACGAGAAAATGTAAAAAACTCATATTGCGCATCATTTTTCCAAAGCGGCGCCAACGGTTCACGTACGTGTTAAGAAAATGGAAATTCAAAAAGGGCACAAATAAATAAAAACCAATTTTACCAGAAAATATTCTAGGTAGTCTCAAATTCCTTACCAAAAGTTCGCTCTTGCAATTAAGTTAAGCTAATAAGAACTCAAATAGTTATGCTTCGATCATAGCGTTTACAGTAACACCGTTTAGACCAATTTGTTCAGATGATGGTGAATAACGAACCTGTTGCTTCAAATTCTGTTCGAGGAACACTTTATTCTGCAAAAGCTGCTGGTCGGCAGCCATGGAGGGCGATATCCTAGCTTGCATGAAGTTCTGTTGCAGGAGCTTCATGGCGGCATCCTCGTTGTTAAGCTGCTCGATCTGCTGCTGGAGCAGCTGCTTCTGACACTGAAGGAGCTGCGATTGAGGATCCAGCCTGAAGATGTAAGTCTATAAGTATTTATCAACTGTTGTGTTCACAACACCTTAATGGATAAAGATGAAAAAAATCTTGTTTTCAACTTAATCCAAATGGCATAAGGAGGATTTTAGCACGAAAATGAATGATCTGATGATGGTACGTGTGAAGTGCTTACTGTACGCCGGCGAGGGGCTGCGGCCCCACCCCGTTTAGAAGCCCCGCGGTCACCTGGTCGACAGGTCCTGCTTGCTGCTGATTCTGTATCATCTTCATCTGCTATGAAACAATAAATTTATAATTTTAATGATTATTTAATTATTCTTGCAAAAATGCCATAAAAGGACTTATGCACATCAACATTATCTTGTTAAATTCTCGAGTCACAATGTAAGTTACCTTACTCCTACGAATCAGCTTCACTGATTTTTACCAAAATGTATATGCCATTTGCGACCTTATTTCATTGGGCAGTCTAAAACAAGTGCAACCCAATCTCGCGCAAGATGCCATACCATAATCGCCAGCGGTATTCCCAGACCCATAAAACCGATGGACCCCAATAGGACCGATTTCCAACCGGGGTTGTTAGCGCATAATGTACCGGAGATCAGCTTATAGTAACGGTCGGTTTTAGTCAGTAAAGACTGACAGCACCTTTTATAAAACGTTGCCCCACACTAGGATTTTCTCGTGTCGTGGGTGCGTTTACAAACATACAGTAGATGACACAAAGACTTGTTCCGTGCGGGAATCGAACCCGCGACACGTTGCGCGGCAGCCACCCAGCCATCGTGCGAAAATCGAAACTAGTCAAAACGCCAAGACCGTAGTCCTTTTAAAATGGCTGCCAATGCTCCTGTTACTCTTCAGAAATGAATAGGTAGTACTGATTGTTTACTATCAGGTATGTGATCCTATATCGCTAGGCCTTAAAAAATATTAAATATATATATATTTGGCACAGACCTGCCTTAACTGCTGCTCGTACAATTGCTGTCTGTTCTGTTCGATTATCAGCATTTGAGAATTCTTCTCCTTCCTCTCCCTAAGTAAGAGAGATATAACATAATTATTATTACTATCTATACTAATATTATAAAGAGGTAAAATTTGTATGTTTGTAAGTTTGTGTGTAGGGGTAATCTTTGGAATCGCTGGTCGGATTGCCAAAATTCTTTCACTGATAGATAGCTACAATGTTCGCGAGGGCTATAGAACAACAGGCTACAATTAAATGGAGCCGAGCAGCGGGTGAAACCGCGCGAGAGTAGCTAGTTATTTATTTCACTTTTGGAAACCTGCAATATCCCTAGTGAACATGGGCTATATAAAACGCGGTTTAAACTCAGGCACAGCTAGTAAAACAATAAAACTATACGAACTTACTATCTGGAAGTCGTTGAAAGAGATTTTTTTATGCGGTAGGTCGGCAAACGGACAGATGGATTACCTGACGGTAGGCAATCAGCGCCGCTCATGAACACCCGCAACAACGGAGCAGTTAAGAGTGCGTTGCCGACCTTTTGGCAATTAGGGATATGGGGATTTTGGAATTGTGTGAGAGGAAGGATTGGGCCTCCGGTAACTTCACTTACACGGCACTCCTTCAAATCCCCTATCCTTGAATCCCTAATAACCCATAAGAGGCCGGAAACGCACTTGTAGTGACTCCTTTGGTATTATGAGTGTCCATGGGCGGCGCTGATTGCTTACCATCTCTACCACCAGGTAATCCGTCATCATCAGCTTGGTTGCCGATATTAGTATGACATAAAAAAAATACTTTACGAACTTCCCACTACATTTAGAATCGATGTAAAGAAAAATTACGTATTTAATATTTTAAATCACTATTACAAATAAAAAATCCTATCTTCCCTATTACATTATACTATAACATATTGGCTTTATGTACTTCATTATTGATTGACGAATAAAGAAGTCAATAAGAAATTATTCAAATTTATACAATCGTAAAATATTTGAAAGTAATTACACATTCATATATTTTTTACGAAATACTCAAAACAAGTGTTATTTGACGTCAAAAGTAATGATGTTACGACTGATATGCTATTTCATAGAAAAAAAAATGTTTTTGACATTTCGGAATTGAATTAGAGACTGTAGTCAGTGTGTAACATTAAAACCACTGTCATTTTGTGAAATAATGATACCACATAATATAACAATTTAGTGATGAACACAAAAATCGATAAATTATTAGTGAATCAGTTCCAGGAAAGCATTCAAAAAATTACGGCTACCGAATGGTCGAAATGCGTATCCCATGTTGAAAAAATGAGTAAGCTAGATATGTTAATTGACAATAAATATCACAGACACAAGTCATAATAAGTGTAACAGAAAATAACAGCGATAGCGATGACGGCGATAATTTATAAAATAAATTATTACCATAATAGATCACATTTTTATTAATATCACACACAATTATAAAAGAAAAGTATCAGACCGTTAATTAATTGTCAAAACTAAATTATCGGTTCAAAAATATTTAATTGCCTGATAAATTTAGTTTACGAGAGTAAATTTATAAACGAGTAATCGACTCGGAAATATTCGATTTCCATATCGAATAATTTTGCAACGTCACTATTTAGTACTTGTCATAACGTTGCAAAACTGAAATTATCAAATCAGGAATCTAATTAAAATTCCGATTATAGTTAGGAACTACCCTTATCGGCCTTGCCAGGGTTGCGGGGTAAAAGCAATGAGGTACCAATACCTCGGTCTAGACCAGGAGAACAAATGGGGGTTTTTGGTCAGCAAGAATTTGGCACTCCCTCCCGCCTACCCGGGAGAAGCAACCGGGCGGGAGAAGTCATTTGATAATTTTCCCTTCACAAAAAAAAGCTATTGAAAAACATAAAATAACGCGAATCAAAACCTGCAAGTCCAATTATGTACGTAACACACAACGCATATTTTCATATATTTGCATAAGTGCATCTCTAAAAACTTTTACTGAGTTCTTCTGAACAAGAGAAAATCGTCAAGAAATAGCTCTTACTGCTACGTGATACAGGTGAATTGATGTTGCTACAAAATAATCGATATCATCTGCGAGGCACGCGTGCAGAAAACAGAATATTCATGTTTGTTCAAGTGAATGGTTAGTACTTAGTAGGTAATGGACCGTTTAAAGAAAGTTGGTATTTGTTAAGATATGATGCAATTCATGCAATGAACAAGGTCATGTTGGATAATGGTATCCTGGGGCTAAGAGCTGGTGGCGATTAGCCTTCAACAGTTTTTGTCTGCAGTCATGAGACATGCTATCAGGCCTATTAACAGAAACCACGCATCAGAGGTCTCTCGCTGGTGCACGGCGCGTTGCGTTCAGCGAGAGAATAAGTAAGGAACAGAGGGATTTAGTCAGTAAGAGTCTGCCACCTCTCCCTCACCCTGGGAAGTCGTTTGATGATTTGCCCCTCACAAGAAAGCATCGGAGGTCTGATAAACCTGAACCTTTTAAATTGCTTTCTAAAACCACGCTGCCGAAAGTTCTGACAAGCGTCAGAATCGAAAAGTCATTTTTAAAAAACTAGCCCCACTTTTCAACTACTTGTAAGAGCCCTCAATACCATATCGTTGGACTGGTTTACGGACACGCCGAACCTTCGGCGGATAATTAGGTTCATTATTATTATTCCAGACAGGATTATCTATTTCCTGCAAATTGGGCTCGCTAGATATTTTTACAGGGGTTGCTGTTAACGTAATGTTTTCAACTAAAACGATTCCCTGAATATGTCACTCGTTCAAAATGCCGCCCTGTGTACTCCACAGTCCAGCTGCGCTCTGTTGTTCATGAAAAAGTATTTACTTCGTAAAACATTATTAATATAATATTTCTTTTAAATAAAAATTATATTGAACACGATACAGTTAAGTATCACACGAACGCGGTTAATTTAAATAAACGTGTTAATTTTATTGGTGTAAGAACCCACTCTGTTATCTCTGTATTAAGAAATCCGATGCATCTGTGTTTGGTAATGAGCTTGCAATTAATTACTCACAATTTTATTAAACACATTCAAATTAACCAACACTTCAAACAAAAATACTAAAATCACATAACATTTAATCGATTGTACATAATAAACAGGTATTAATTTTATTAAATAACCTTCGTCTAAGGAAACCGGCCCAATTTAGCTTAACTTAGCTGAAACTGAAGTATTAGCACGCGAGGTCATTATGTACAACGAACAAAACTCGCACTTACTTGGATACCGTTGCCATGGTTACCGGACTAACAGTCTTTGTATTGAAATACCTTTTCAGAGGTTCGTTGAGGCTAAACATAAAAAGCTTTTATATTATATCTTCGTACTTATATTGAAACGTTTTGACTGCGTTTCTGATTATATAAAACAACAGCTTATGATAGTGCACTGCTGAACTTAGAGGTTACAAAAAAATTAGTTTAAGAAAGCAGTTATAATAAAGTTCAGTTATCGCACCCACGACACAAGAGAAAGTACTAGTGAAGGGACAATGTTTAAAAAAAAAGAGAGTAGGTACTTTTGCCTGATCTCTGTCAAATAAGAAATTACTGTAGTTTTGTATGCCAACATACAATATCGGCAGAAAGGCAGCTGAAAAGTAAGGGATAGTCACAATTAATTAGAGCTGGCGTCAGAAAGCGATTGATAATATTTATAATCATACGAAACATATGATTGATATAATCAATTTGATATCCTGCAAATATGTATACACTATAAAGTTATGATTAAATTATCCTTGTACTGCATTGTTACTCCTGTATTGTTTTTAATTATATTTCTTTACTACTGTCTAAAAAGAATGCGTGCCTACTTTTAAGAGCATACACTAACTGTTGTTTGTCATATTCTTAATGTCTGTCTTTATGTATCTTAATTGGTAAGCCTTGATAAAATCAAATAAATAAATAAACTCTTTAGGTAAAAATAATACTTAAACTCCCTGAATAGGTGAACCAGAAGTGCATGGTTACTGATATATTATCTAATTAGGTAAAAAATTGTGACCAGTACAACACATGTTTACTTTTGAGGGGTTGCCAAATTTCAACCCTCAATCTATATAAGTACCTTATTTTCACTCATATTTAATGATAAACAAATTCGATGTTTTTATATTTCACGTTAATAATCATTACTTTGACGAATCATTAAGTTTGTAAGTTATATAAGATCTTTTTAGGTGATTGAAATTTAATTAAAAGGTCAGTTATCCTGTCATATATCCGAAGACGGGGCCCTGTATTACTGATGTTTAGTCAAGGTTGCGGGGTAAGCGCAATGAGGCACCGCGGCCTAGATCAGGAGAGGAGGAGGTTAGTCAGTTAGAGTCTGACACTTCCTCTCGCTTCATCCTGGGCGGAAGAAGTCATTTGATGAATTTCCCCTTACAAAAAAAAACCCTTGAGTTATGGGATATCAAAAAAAGGAATTTAAGATAGTAGGAGTAATAATTCCGACTACAGGACTATAGATCAGTAAAAAAAGGAAATCGAAGAATAAAAGATTAATACTGATATGCTTTTTACCAATAAAAATCTGCAAACATTTATTAGGTTGACTGTATATTTATTTTTTCCTAATAATCCATTAGAGAAAACATAACGCAACTTCGCATGGATTGTCCTGGGAATGCAGAGCTTTGATAAGGACGCATTTTGGTCACTAATTAGGAATTTATGATTACGAACCAAACGAACATGTAGGTAAAAAAATATAAACTGTATATTTTATTTAGTTTTCCTGTATCACAGAATTATAAGTTACTGTAGCCGACTTATATACAATATAATGTTAATAAATATAAAGCAATGGGCTATTGAACTAGTTAGGCTATGCACCTTCTGGGTGCATAGCCTAACTAGTTATGTGATTTATGGTCGGCTGTATGTCGTAAAAAACATGTGTTTTAATCATCAAATATTATAATATATGGGTAATGTAACTTTAAACTTATTGATTGTATTTAAGAATGTAAGAGTTTTGGGTAACGGTTAATTTAAAT